TTTACATCTTCATTTTTGCTGTTGCTAGCATTTCCAGAACTATAGCACAGTGCTAAGGCATTTGGAGTATATACACTTATTATTGATGTTGGTTTGTTGTCTAAGGTTGCTTTCAGCATAATATAGTTTAATTCTTTAACCTTTTTTATTTTTTGAATATTTGCTTTTGCTTTGTCAGAAAGCATGATGGCAACTCTTGCTTTTTTAGATTCACTTGATGCAGAGTAAATTTTTTTTCCATTCCTTTAGTTTTATTTTGTGAAGGATTTTTTTGGTTTGTTTTTTAAATATGTTTCTTGTAAGCAACAGATTGTAGGATTTTGCTTTCTTTTGTATTCTGTCACTTTCATGTTATTTGTTTAATCCATTTATATTTAAAATTATATTATCCTCCATCTGTCTCTAATATTTTTTTTTTCAAATAATCATTATTTTCCTCCTCTTCTGCACAGCACTATGTTCCTTCATTTACTTTACCTTTATGTTTTTTCAGGTGGTCTTGTTCCCCTTTCTCCTGATCCCTCTTCATTTGTTAATCCTTTCCCTTTGGGGTTCCTTTTTCTCTTCTGCTTTTAACAAATTGTATAATCCTTCCCTCCTTTTTTCCCCATCTCATTCAAGTAGATTTCCTGTTCTTCACCTCCCTTTCATCTAGACCTATCCATAAGTTTTATAAATTTAATTTTTTGCACCTTTCCAAAAAGAGTTTCTTTCTCTCTTCATTATCCATCTTCTCTTTCTTTAGAAGCCTGCATTCTCTGACTCATGACCTTTAAAATTCTCTACTCTTCTGCTTTTCTCTGTGTTCCTCATTCAATCAAAATTTCAAGTTGTTCCTTCTAGACTCTCCCTTTTAGGCAATTTCTGCCACTGCTTTGTAGAGCTTGCCCACCCCCACCCCCCCGCCCCCACCCCCTTTTTCATTGTGCCTCAATCCTAGAACAGTGCCACTTATTGCAAATGTCAGTGAGGACATTGCCTCATGGTAAAGCTCCTTCCCCACCACTAATCTATACCCTCTTTTATTGAGCTTTTTATACATTGTCATGTGTCTATGCTGTTCCACCAAGTAGATTTTTCAAACACCAGATCCTCCAAATGATGCCCAGCATAAGGTCCCCATCTCCCTTCAGAGACCATCTCTCTTCATCCGTTGGTATATTCATCTATGGAACTTACTACCAAAGGAAGGTCTCCTTTTCCTCCCCTTTTCAGTTCTTCCCCCTTCCTCCTCACTATCCTGTAGGCTCTTCTTTTTCTGATACAACAGGGTCATCTTCCCTTCATTTCTAGGGCTAGATTTGACCTCAGCACATCCATCACACATTCCTCTCCATCCCCCTGCTCCAGCCCCCTTTCCCATACACTGTCATGTTGTAATGTAGTTCTACCAAAAACAAACAAAAAACTCAAAACATTCATTCTTATATAGGGAAGATATTGCCAGATCCTGTCCATAATGCCCCAGGTCTACTTCGCTGTTACCTCCCTAGACTTATGCTTTTCCCCCTCTCTCCTTGTATATGTTTAAAAAGAGGTTTCTTACTGATCTCCCTGCTGTCTCTGTCCTTGGCTGCTGCATTTATTCACTCCCCCTACATTTCTGTTGTTTGGGGCATTTAAGAAACAAATAATCTTTTCAGTCCTGGTTTTCTTTCTAAAAATGTTTTGAATGCCTCTTTATTATTGAACATAGATTTTTTTTTCATTTATGGTTAAGCTTAGATTTGCACAATATGTCAACCTCAGCTGCATCCTGAGTTCCATTGCTTTTCAGAATACATTATTCCATGCACTCCGTTTTCTCTTGGGTGTAGAATAGTCTTGCATTATTTCAATTTGCTTTCCTTTGCATTTGAAGGTATTTTTCTTGATTGCTTGCAAAACTTATTATTTCTGAAATGAATTGTTAAATTTAACCACTATGTGTCTTGGAGTTTGCAGCATTTGTGTGTTCTTCTTATATGTTTTTTGTTTTCTTTTTTTCTGGAGTTGATCTGATAATTCTTTCAATTGTTATTTCCTTTTCTATGTCCAGAAGTTCTGGGCAGTTCTTCTGTGGTGTTAAGGTTTTTTTCATCCTGTCACATTTTTCTGAGAGATCTATCATCTTTGTATCCTGTCTTTAAGTTCAGTATGTTTTGCTTACATAATGAGCATATATTTTCTTAATATTATTGCTTTTTGTTTCTCTTCTTCTAAGTTATCCTTCAGCTGTGTGTGTTTACATTCTCAATCTATTGTTTTATTTTAATGTTTATTTGGTGAGCCTTGATATTGCTGATTCCAATTTTTCTATTCTGTTAATTATTTTTGCTCTACTGGCTATGAATTATGCTCATAATTCTCATTTTTCTTTTGTTTCACTCAGGGACAATTTGTTGTGACTCCATGCTCTGTTCATACTCCATAGGGTTCTCTGTCTCATCAAATGTTGGATCATTTTCCTTTGTTTGGCAGTATTCATTTCTAGATCTAGAGGTCATATTTCCTTCTGTTGTTAAGATTTTCTTTGTTGGTTTATCTGCTTATAATCAAGCATTTTGAGTTTTCTTCCTGAGATCTTTGGTAATTTCAGTCTTTTATTCCCCCCTTGATTTTCTCCTGTTCACTTTCTGCCTTTGGGACTGGATTTCAGAGTTTTTCAGTCTCCTCATAGACTTCTGAAATTCTTAGTTCAGCTGCCTTGGTAATAACTTTTGGGTGGTCAGAACTGGCTCCAGCCAGATACCAGATTCTTCTACTCATGTCTGATGGATTGTCTCTCTCTGCTTCCTTGTTGCCCCTGCCCACCAAACAGCCAATATATCTTGTCCTGGGCTCTCTTGGGGCAGTTCAGAGAGCTGCCCCACCGGTGCTAGGAGGGTTGTCTGTCCCAGCATTGTCAGGATTTTTATGCTAATGCTTCAAGGTTGTCCATTAGGCAGAACAGTAGTATTGGTACTTTGGGGTTGTGGCTTTCAGCAGGCTTTTGCTCCTAAAGGTCAACTGCTTTCCAGGCTGTCTGTCACTGCCTGAGCAAACTTCTTCAGCCTGGAGCTGAGGTCTCCACAGCACTGGAAAGAGAGGAGGGGGACAGGGATGTGGGATTAGGTTTTGTTTGCAAGCCCCTACTGCTTCTTTGGGTCAGCTAATGCAGCCTTCTTGCCAATAGGTAGGAGGTGAAGGGAGGGGTTGCTGAGTGAGCTCAAGGTCAGTGTGCATCAGTTCATAGTTTGTGGTGGTGGGGGGGGTGGGGTTTGTTTTTAACCTTTTGAATTCTAGGTTCCCTAGACCGTAGAGGTAGCTGAAGTAGCTTTATCTGTGGTGCATAATTTCTGTTTTGGAGAATTTTGAGAGGTTGTAGGGATCAGAGAAGATGTTTAGTCTTCTTGGTGCTAATATTACTCAGAAGTCCCATTACTAGTTCTTATAAAAAGATAGTGAAGAAATGCTTAATGTGAAGGATAAGATTATTCCTATTTGGTTTATTGAATATTTAAATATCATAGTTTAATCTCATTGGTTCCCTTTAATTTTTTATATTTTTAACATTAGTTTTCAGATGATGATAAAGAAAAGGAAGATGTGCCTCTTCAGAGTTCTGCCTCTGGTAAATCTAAAAAGAAGAAAAAGAAAAAGAAGAAGCAAAGTGAAGAGACTAACTCTCCAGCACAGGTAACCAGAGTATGGTATTTGCTATTTTGTCTCTGACTCCTTCTAATATGAAGTGATAGCTAAAAGGTGACTAGAATAGAGAGGCAAGTAGCACAGCAGTTCAGAAGCCATAGAGGATTGTCCATCAAATAAGGAAGACTTGGATGACTTTGGGCAGGTCACTAAGAAAAGATAACATTGCACAAGTGTTGGAAAGTGTTGATAATATTTAGGCATTTGCTTTATTTGTTTTATTAAAGTTGTTCCTATTTGTTGACGTCTGATCTGGTAGAGGTCATAAAATCAAGGAGCTGAACCTAAGGGTGGAAAAAGCAAGGGCCTTAAGTTGCCATGTCATGTTCTCAGACCTTACAGAGTAGTCAGCTGCCCTCAGCCATTGGAGATTGCTTTCCAATCCAGCTAGTTTTCTGTTTTAGATGATATGAATTCATAAAGCGAAAATATAACTGGATCATCTCCCGTTGTCCTTTACTCTTTTCGCTTTATGGCTACCACTGACCTTAACAATTATTTCCACTATTAAAAAAAAAGTTAGCTTCCCAAAATATGGTTAGTATGGTACTTTAAAATATGTTGAATATTTTTATTAGTAATAAAAATAACTCTGAACAGCATTATGAAGTTACTATTTCTTTTATGTACAGAGAAACAGAGTGGCATACTATATTGCCCTCTTTGGGTTTTGTTTTCTTGGGGTTTTTGTCCATATCTTCATTTACATATTTGTAACTATGCAATTTATTGCCAGAATATCAGAGCTGACGTCTGTTGTTGTTTGCAAATATATCGCATTTGCTTTTATTAGGTAAATAAATAAATGAATAGACAAGCAATTAAATGTATGCATGCACTGGAGAAACAGCATGGGATAGTGGATAAGAAACTGGCCTTGGAGTCAGAAAGACCTGGGTATTTATGATGTTGGTCCTGACCTTCTCACCTACATCAGTAAATAATGGTTCTGATTTTCTTTCATGCACCTCCTCCCTTCTTCTCACCTATCCTCTACCTCAGGCACTATCTATGAACTGAAGCAATTTAGTATGATTTGATTCCAATGGAAATTTTACGTGACTTCAAAATACTCATAAAATATGATTTTGTCAGTAATAGTAAAGCAAAAGATAGTACTTATAATAGTATAATGGATTAGGGAGTTGGACTGAATGAAATATCAAATGTGAAACTGGATATTTCAGTTTCATTTCGATCTAATTGTTTTGAAAAGCAGTATTTTTAGGTCAGACCTGTAACAACCTTAATTGTCTAGAACAGCTAAAACCCAGTGGAGTAAGGGAAAAATGACTAGCTTATAAAGATTTACTCTTCCCTAAAGCAATCAATTAACCTGTGAACTATAGACCCCAGGCAGCTAGGCGGCACAGTAGGTAGTACACTGGACCTGGGGAAAACCTGAGTTCAAATTCACCATCAAACACTTGCTAAGGTATATGACCCTAGGCAAGTCATTTACCTCTGCCTCAGTTTCCTTATCTGTAAAGGAGGGCACTAATAGTATCTATGTCCCAGGGCAGTTATGAGGACAAAATGTGTAAAACACTTGTCAAACCTTAAAGTGCTATATAGAAATCCAATCATTATTATTACCATTGTTGTTATTATTAGTCTTATTAATTTCATTATTACTGTCAACATTCTGTTTAAGCTATTTGGACATTTTTCCTCTGCAGGATACAGAAGAATTAGAGAAAGAGTTTAGAGAAGATTTTCCAATGGAGACCTCTAAAGTCCATCCAAAACAGAAAAAAGATCCTTCTTTGAAGACCATGAGCACTAGTGATCCACCTGAAGTACTCATCAAAAGTAGCCAGGTAATTTTCTGCACAGCCTTGCAGACTCAACAGTTGAAGTGAGAGATGAGCTATTCTGGCTCAGAGGGAACCTCTGTAAGGATGCAAATGTTTGGTTAGCATGGCCAGTGTTCAAAAATTATATCCAGTTCTATCCACCTGGCAATTCTCTTTTTAGAAATTGTAATAATTATATTTTAAATTGGGGTTTAGAAGACATATATTTTGTGGAAGGTACTGATAATGTAGCTAGTGGTTTTGTGGGAAAGCAGGAGCAAGAGAGGGGCATTTCATTAGAGGAAAAGAATAGTCTAGTTATGCTGAGACAGTGCTACTTGGGCCACATGGCCCTTTACATACATCCAGTGAGTCTTTCTGAGACCTCTGATTTCTATCAGGGCCCAACATGTGTCTAAGGAATGAGTTTTTAAATTGTATTAGGCAAAGTTTTTTTTGTTTTTGTTTTTTTTATGACTGAAAATGTCATTCACCTTGCACAACTGAGGGAGTACCTCAGAGGGACAGTGCTCCTCTAGGAATAAAGATTTCTAAAGACTGATTTAAAACTAATAAAAACAGTAAATTCTTGGTGATTGGGGAGGAGGGGTTGTTTGTTTTCTTTCTGAATTCTGTTTATATGTTTTGAATTAGAAGAAAGTAATCCCAACATTTGTAGGTTTAGCAACATCATTAAATAAGGTTATTTATCATTTGTCAACTGAGATACACCAGTGTTTTTATTAAGCGACTTCGCTGTCAAAGACAGTGCTGTTATTTTTTTTTAAATATAATGGTGTAGCCCATCCTTGACCATTTAATATCACTTCAGTTATTTAAATTCCTTATTTCTTTATAGTGTTTTACATTGTTTTTATACAAGTCTCAAGTAGATTGACTCCCAAATATTTTGTGCATTTTGTAGTTATTTTGCATGGATTTCCCTTTTTATTTTTTCTTCCTTGATTTTGGTATTTATAGAAATGCTACAGATTTAATGGGCTTATTTTCTGTCCTACTTGACTGAGGCTATTAATTGCCTCAATTAGGTGATTTTTTGTTTTCTCTGCAAACTGTGCTGTAAACAAATAGGGATAGTTTTTTTCTCCTCTTTGCCTATGTTTATGCCTTTCCTTTATTTCTTTTAGAATCATGTCACATGATAGCAGGGAAAGGTTACAAATGCTGCTACCCCTCTGTCTTGACCCCTAGGCGACATCTCCATGGACAGCTAACCAAACCAAGTTCCTTCTTGCTTACCAGGCCCCCACATATGAAGGGAGGATTGTAGAGCTCATAGTCTATATGCTCTACGTACTCAGCGCAAGGCCAGACTGTATATGCAGTCCAGAGTCAGGATTTTCTCCAATTGAGTTTTGCTTGTTGTTGTAAACTTGCTGAAGAACTAGAGCCACAACAGTGTTTACTTTGTATGTGGTTTTTTTCAGTCAGTAAAACTACAAGAACTGCTGGTGCTCCTTGAGAGAGTTACTCCATGTTTATCACTGCTTCTTAGGAGTGGTTAGCAATAAAGCAAAGGATAACAATACTTGGCAGTGTTGCCTGTCACTGGCCAGACAGATATCTCCTCCTCCCTCTGACAGGTATCTCTTCCCCCTCCACCCAGGAGACATGCTTAGAGGTAAATAACTGAAAAGGGGAATGGAAGGAGCCAAAGACAGAATGTGCTCCTAGCAGTACTTACTGTGGTTGAGAAAAACTAGGAAACAAGGCTGTTCATTGATTGGGAATTGAGTAGTATTCCACTTTAAGAAATGTCAAAAGGGAAGAATTTAGAGAAGTCGGAAGACTTCTATGAGCACATGCAGATTGAAGTGAACAGAACCAGGAGATATTTTACATAGTAACATAAACAAAAACTCCACTAAAACCAAGTTGAACTCTTAACTACACTGGAGAACAAGACATTGAAACACATCTTTCTCCCTTCACTGGAGAGGTGGGAGATGTAAATACAGTGTGCCATGCTGAGGGGTCTTTCTGACCCAGATACAATCAGCTGGTTTTGATTAACTGCTTTTCTTTGTTATAATTGGGGGGCAAGAGTGGGGCATGCTATAAATCTGGAAATAACTGTGATACCAAATTAGGTGTATTAATGGAGCTGCAGTTTAATTGCCAGCTTGTACCCACACAACAGTATGCCAATGGGAGGGGGGGGACAAAGAACTCCAATATAAATTAACCAAAATTTAAAAATTATGAAAATAAAGGAAAATTTCTGTTCTTTGTTAAGCTCATCATACCTGTATGTTATAAAGACCTTCCTTAAATTTAAATTTCAGTCAGTCGGATCTTTGAATAAGAACTAATTTTTGTTTTGTCACTTAAAGGACAAGAATAAGTTTGCTTTGTGCTTCTATTGATAAACTAATTATTGTATCTTTCTTAAGATCAGTCACCAGTATGCATTAATAAGAAAGTCATCTGAATAAAATTGAGTGTTTAATATTATATTACACAAGAAATCTCTTTTAAAACTTTGTGTTTCAAAATAGCCTGTTAAGACTCTTCCACTTGCTGTTTCTACCGAGCCATCTGTAATTTTATCACAAAATGAATCTGACAAGATACCTTCCCAAGTGCCCCAGACGCTACAAGAGACAGCTGTTTCCAAGCCTAATCTTAAGCAGAATAGTGTGCCTCCTTCCCAGAGTGAGTAAACCCTCATAAAAGGTGGGGAGGGGGGAACTGGGGCAGGCAGTTGGAGGGGTCACGGGTTCAAATTATATAGCTCCTTTGTACTTCCAGGATTTCAGTAACATTTTCAAGTGTTTATTGTTTTGGGAACTAGGTAGGAAGGGTTAGATTGTCTATCAAATTCAAAACACATCAACACTAACTTTCCTTGTTCTTAATTTTAGTAGACAAGAGTCGGCCGGGCTTATGGGATTCTTACTGGGAAACCCTGATGCTGTTTGGCTCAGTAAATTGCATCTCATTTTAATGTCCCTCCTAGCTCTAAAATTGTTCTTAGCTTCTTAAAGATCCTCCAAAGAACCCAATATTAAAAGATTTTTCTTGAGTAAATGCCCAGTAGTCTCAAAAGATTGATAATTTGGGGCAGTTCTTGGTTATGACAGAGGTCAGAGTAAGGCTATTAAAGTAACCTTCATAAAGATGAACACTTCACTTACTCTTGATTTTTCATATGGACAGTATGTTACATGCAGAAGTACAGGTTTTCTTAGTCCAGCAAATAATGAATTCCTCGAAATGATATTGTAATCAATATTATAATTTGCATTGCTTATTTCTGTTGGGCTCCAACCAGTTACTATACTTTTTCTTTTAAAAGGACAATTAGAAAAAGTCTTTCTAATAGCAAAAACATGTAGTAGGGAAAATGGAACCTTTTCTGAAAACATAGCACCTAAAAAATTGAACGTAGATTTAGTAAGATTTTCACAAAAGAGAATTCTTAAAAGAGGATTTCAGTGCATTTTATATTGTTGTAACCCTTATGAAGCCTGGAGAGGTCCTTTATCTAAGTTTTTTCCTTTATGTTTTGCCACTCTTTTAGCCAAGTCTGAAGCTAGCTGGGAATCTCCCAAACAAGTAAAAAAGAAGAAAAAAGCTAGACGAGAAACGTGAATGTTTTATCCTGAATTGGACATGTGTTATGCAGACACTGTCTTGAAGATGATGCTGTTTATGCAATAATTTGTGAACATGTACAGAATTTTATATAAATTTCAACTGATTTTTAAAGACAAAACTGCTGTGAATGCAACCATCATTAAAATGGAAATCAAAGGAAAGTTAATTTGCAAAATTAACAGCTCAGCAGAACATGCTACATTGCTGGAAGACGCTTAGGAGTCTCTTTTTCAATTTTATGAACTATCTTAATTTAAGAATATAGATCTCCTGGTTTTACAACAGTGCCCTGTTTACAACAGATTGTGTTCTGTCTCATCTGCAGCTGAGGACTAGAGGAATGTTTAGAGAAAGGGTTGGCTATAAAATAGTGGGTATTTCTTGCATCTTTGATTCACAGATTGTCTACCATTTGAATTTGCTTCACATGTAAATCAAAGTGCTTTGATTAATTGCATAATCTTCCACATTTTACATATTTTTTGGTAGCAGTGTGTATTAAAGGAGTCACAAGTGCAAATACAAAATCATTTGTTGTCATTTGTTTAGCTGAGCCTTTATGGTTTAGTTGACAGAAAAAAATGCTGTCAGTTAAAAGATCAGAAATGCAATTGACACTTGAGTATGGTTCATGAAGTTATTTTTGATAGTCTTAAATTACTTGAATTCTTCAAAGTGCAGTATATTTTTAATTATATTACAAAAACTCAACTATGTGTATATGGTCTTGTTTCTGTTGTTTCTTTTAAAAAGTTCATGCTCATGTTTAATTGCTCATTTTTAATGATGTGAACTGTTAGTCAAACTCTAAGTCACCTTTTCCCTTTCCCAAGCAATTATTTTTACCAGCTTCAGCTCTGTTCTCTTTGTTGCTAAAATGTCTTTTGACTTTAAAATTGAAATCATTCACACACTAGTCATACAAGACATCAAAGTTTTGATGGAGAATGGAAGACTAAAATCAGACAGCTTTAATTGACATTGTCAAGAACTCCAGTTATCAGGAATACATTTTTTTACTGCCTTAACCTGTAGTGTGTAGAATATGCATCTAAATTTCTTGAGGGGGAATTAGTGTTTTTATAAGAATTTTCATGTAAGTATTGCGGTTGTAGTTAAATAAGGAACATTTCGCACTTGAAACTGTATTGATTAAAATGATGTGTGAAATGTTCCATTTTCAGGCACTGTGTAATTATATTGTAATGAACTGGCAAGTATCTTTGTATCTATAAATAGTGCATGCTCAGCCATGTACACTGTAAATAGCCTTTACCAAATGTGTTTGACAAGGACCATAATTAACATCGTTTAGTGAATTGTGATTGAGAAAAAAAAAGCCATGAATTATTTGATGCGATTGGCTTAGTTGTTTTTATGTGCTCAGAGACATTGTTTGTAACAGCTGTAACCAATGGTACTGATCCAACCATCCAATATTGTCTTATTTTACTTGACTGCAGTTTGGTAGTATTGACTTACAAATGCTTAAAAGGGTAGAGAAACAAAATGACTTTAGTTTTGCTGAAGATTGGGCCTTTATCAATGAACCGCTTTCCTAATAGTGATTGCTAACTTTTATACAGGTGTTAACATCTGTTTCAGGAACATGGCAGTATGTTTACATGTTCAGAGTTTTGTTTAATTCAGTGACATTTCTAAGTTGATTTGTTTAAATAAATTGAGCAAATGTTAGCTTTGTTTTGTTTTATTTTGCTTTATGGGAGTAAATAATTCCTAATGTGATGCTGGATTTTTTAAAAATTATTTTCTTTGGTTAACTTAAAATTTAATATTTCCTCAAATACTCAAGGACCCTGGTTTATCTGCCAGAACTTCTTATAATTCTTCCCCAGGGAGAAGGGTAAAGAAAAAGAGCCTGCCTAATTAAGAAATGTGCCAAAAGGTCTTCATTTAAAAGAGTATTGAGTGTCAGTTATTGAAATATAAACTTATCATTTCTGGTAATATGTTTCATTCTTTTAGGCACTCATATCTAATGGATTTTATTTCATAGTTAATTAGTTCTGTGTTTGTATGTAGATACTGCAGAGCAATATTTAAGTCCACACTGTTTATTTTCTTAATTAAAAAATATGTTAATACAGCTTGAAATGTTTGATAAAATCTAAATTTTTTACCCAGTACTTCTATTTGGTTTCATTATAGTTTGATGGTTTTGAAGTTTATGTGTAAATTCAGTGTATACATAGAACTACTTTTCAAAGAGACTTAAAAGAATGCTATGTTGTGTAAGATGTTTTGCTTGTTATCAATAAAACATCCTCCTTTTTCCCTTTCCTTTTTTAAAAAAAAAAATTTCTCAAAGAAGACATTCTCCCCACCTAGAAAAATTCTCCTTGACATTATGATTGTTAGAACATGATCTGAGAGACATTTGTTGCATCTTCTGCCAGAGTTTGGTTTGCTTTTATTGATGAGGGTAGAAGTTATACATATATGTTTTCTCTCCTGGTCATTTTTTCTTTCAGGATCATTTCGGTATTAAAATTAAAAGTTTGCTTAAGTACAACATCTTGGTCAAACTCTAAATTCTTGAATAGGGAATGACTTGAAACTGATTGACATTCAGGAATATTCATCTGGCAATAATATACTCAATCAAATCACACTTGAATTATCTACACAAGCTTACTTGCCAGTCAAGGAAGAAAATGGCTATGAGACCATAAATGTAAACAGAACCAGAATTCACAAACTTGTGATCAGACTTCAGGTCTAATGTATATAATGTATCATGTATATATTTGAGTCATTCTGTGAATTGCTGGCACTTCTGTATAAGGCCCCACCCCTTAAAAGATAGGATATGGGATTTTCCTAAAATGTGCTTATATGAGACAGGTTACCCTCTCTTGGGAAACCTCACCTTATCACCACAACAGCATACCTAAATGATGCCAAGTACCTTAGAGCATACATATAAGTTGACCTTTTAAGGTTAAGAAAATCTTCAAAATAGGAATTAACTTACAGAGTGGGTACACTGGCAGCTGACAGGTGCCAGAAATCCCCCATCTCCTGCTCACACCAGCTACTGCTGACCAGCAGAGATCTCCTCAGCCCCCATATTCCTGCCTGTTGGCTGCTGTTCAGAGTAGCAGGTGATGGGCAGCAGAAATGCCCCAGCTCCCAGTGGTAATAGACAGGCGCTGGGGAATTTCTGCCACCTGTCAGCTCTGCTTTCAGCGGCAGAAACTAGGAGAGCTAAGGGAAGCCTTGATGTCTTGTCAGCTTTTGTTGAGAGCAGCAATGGGGTGTGGACTTCATCCTTTATGGTAAGTATAGATTGGAGCCTCAAATTTAAATTAGCCTATGCACCAGATTAATTTGTGCCCCCACAGAGAGTATTAACCTTAAGTAAGTGCTTTTACTGTTGATTTTTAATCAATACTCTAGGAAGTCAGAATAGTAAGTTATGCATAGTATCTTTTCCTTCTGTCTCTTTCCTCCTTCCTAAAATATCAACAAAAAGGACTTTCTGAAGAACATTTAATTTTAAGTGAATTTACATATTGAGTACTTTAAAAAAGAAGTAAACACTTATTTTTATCTAAATTTTAAGATTTATTTTTTTTTTTTGGCCTCAACATAAACTGAAGGAAAAGGGAATATAATTTCTCCTGATGGACCCGAATTTTAGTTCAGAATACAATAAAATATGTAGTTCCCTTTTAGAAGGTTAGAGGGCAATTATTTTAACATGTTAATTGGCCCTTTTAATTGTCCTTAATACTAAGTTTTTAAAAATAGTATCTACTCCTACAGACTTTCCTCTCTACCTGTTCCTATTATATCTTTTGATTTATGTTGCTGTGGTTTGAACTTTCCCACTGTTCAGAGCAAGGTAATTGGCTCTCAAAACATTGAATGTTGGCTTCATAAAACACTGTTCTTCCAAACTGACTTAGGTGCCAGGGATGTGCAATATTCAACTATGGATTAGTCTTAACCTTTTTTTTTTTAAACTTACTTAGATTGAACATAGCATATTTGGTAAATTTATCAGAGATGACACAAATATTTTCAGTAAATTAATGTTAATCATTTCTTGTATTTTTACCCAGTCAGAAGTTTCAAGGACTTAAAAATCTTATTTTCAAAGACTAGATAAAAAGAAGATAAAAAAAGCATGTCTTGGGAGCACTTGAAAGTCTGAAGCACCAAAACTTCACCCAGTACAACATAGCGTCCTGCATCATCAGAGAAAAAGGAAAGGGGGCTTCTCTTCTTCCAAGATTGATTACCGTGAAAAAGAGGAACTTTCTTTAGGCTTTTTAAATTTTCTTTTCCCTTTTTCAGTTATGCATTTATTACTGTCAAATAACAACGGTAGAAGAAAAATACAGATTTTAGAGCCATCTGGAAAACTACGCAAATCCCTAGCGCATAACTTCAATTAAGTGAATCAGAACTCTTATTCCAACTTTCAAAGTAATTTACAAATAACAGGCTGTCTAGTTTCGAATTTATTTTAGATTTTTAAAAAAGAAGTGGTTCGGTGAAATTTAGCCCAATTTGCACAGCCTGTATCTGCAGTCATAGATAGTACCTTATCTTCATAATGATAACTAGGAAGGACTGTTATATTTTAAACAGAGAGTTGGAAGTTTTCTGCTTAAGTTAACCACAAAATTCATTTCATCAGATTTCCCCTAGCATTCTGATTGTTTTTTTTTTTTTTGTCCTTGTTTCTTTTAATATTTGGGTAGATTTTCATCTGGAGTAATGTGTGTCTTTGTCCTTTCTGTCATTCTTAGCTTCAGGTGAACTGCTGTCTCCTAATGTCTTCCCTCGCCTTCTACTTGTGAAGTTGATTGGGGGGGGGGGGGGCAGGCGAGGCAATTGGGGTTAAGTGACTTGCCCAGGGTCACACAGCTAGTAAGTATCAAGTGTCTGGTCTGAGACCAAATTTGGACTCAGGTCCTCCTGACTCCAGGGCCAATCGTCTATCTACCTAGCTACTCTGAAGTTGATTTTTTTTAAACCCAAGTGTAAGACTTTTATGTTACTAGAAAATTAACTCAATTTTCTACTCTATTGAAATCTTTTAAATTCTGGCTGCCATGCAGTAAGTTAGCTATTCCTCTCACCTTTATGTTACCAGCAACATTGAAAAGTATGTCTTACTGGCTTTTATACAAATTGTTGTTTTAAATGTTAAACTGCATGAGACAAAGTACAAATCTCCTGGGCTACTATGGACCTTCAACGTTGAAATCAAACTGCTAATGATGCTTTTTTCAGTTTGGCCTTTGAAGATTTACAAATTTACCTATCAGCTGTCCCACATCTTTCCATCTTGTCCGCAAGAATAACATGATAGAGTGTCAAATTATCTGATAAACTATGTAAACCCTGCATCATTCTACTAATCTTCCAGTTGAATAAACCTATCAAAGGAAATTAGTCTGAATGTCTTTTCATAATCATTGCTTCCCTTTGTAGATATTTGTTAACCATCCCTTTAATAATACGCTGTGGAAATTTTGCCAGGGATTGAAGTCAAGTGTATTGGCCTATATTTTGCAAACTCATTCACTTTTCTTTTTTTAAGAAAATTGGAACACTTGCTTTTCTGTAGTCTTCCATTATCACTTAAAGATCACCAACCAGTGGCTAACCTGCCAGCCTTTTACAAAACTATTTTCAACTTATTTGGTCCTAATGACTTAAACTCAAGGGCAGCTGTTTAATTACTATAGCTATGTTGAGTATCAACTCATTGGACATTTTTATTTCATCCTCTCAAGTGTGAAGACCATTATCTTTGATAGAGAAAAGATAGGCATTAGAGACTGGATTTCTGGTTTCATTGATTTGGGAAATTCTACCAATGCGGATCAGCATCTTCTCTGACATGTGTAGTCTATGATTTGCCCAGGGTCTAACAGCCAGAAGGTGTTAAAGGCCAGGGTTGAACCCAAGTGTTCCTGGCTCTGAGGCCAGCACTTTCCACTTTACTACTGCTCTCCCTCTCTTTAACAGAGAAAACGGAAGCAAACTAAGTTCTCCATTGTGTTATCAGTTAATATCCCATCCACCTTGTGACCTACCTTCTATGGAAAGAAGACTGGCATGCACTTTGAATCTAGAAAATATTCACCTGACCATTGTAAAAACATCTCACGTTCTATTCAGATCCTCACAACATTTTTAGCTCTCCTGTATGTGCTAAAGGTGAAACTCTCAATCTTGCTAGTAGCTCCCCTAAAAATCTGAAAAAAAAAACCGTTATTTACTACATCTCTTCCTTGAACTTTGGAAGCCACATTTATCTATCTACCTTTCTCTTTTCTTACCCCTTACTTACTGTGTCTGGCCACCTTGTCTTACCTGGTCTTACCAACTTCATTCAAGTCCTTTTTTCCCTTCTTGGGTCCTCTTGCCCATCAGGTTCTCGAAGTTAACAGAGCTCTTAAGGAGTATTAACTCCCTTCCAAATCAGTCTCTGGCCTTTTATTAAAATCTTCCAAATCTTTGCAGTTCTCCTGTTTCACTTCCCATCAAACCCAGAAGTAGAACTCAACATGGTCAATAAATTAAAACTGAAAGATCACTTGGTTTCAAGAATATTATTCAGAATTCACTTTCCTTGTTTACAGAGGCAGAAACTGAAGCCCAGTTTCTGCCCCCAGTGGTTTGCCTTCAAAGATTCCCTGGATTCTTAGTCT